TTCTCCACTGATTTTGAAAGATAGTTTTTCAGGGTACATCAGTCTGGGTTGGAGGTTGTTTTCTTGTAGGACTTCATATACTTCACTCCAAGCTCTGTTTGACTTAAGGGCTTGTGTTGAGAAGTCTGCTGTGATTCTGATGGGCTTTCCTTTATACGTGATTTGTTTCTTTTCTCTAACAGCTTTTAATATTCTGTTTTTATGCTGTATTTCTGAAATCTTGCTTTTCATATGCCTTAGTGTATATTTATTTTGGTCATGGCTAATTGGAGTTCTATATGCCTCACTTATCTGTATATGAAATTATTTTTACATGCTTGGGAAGTTTTCTGCCATTACTTCTGTGAACAGTTTTTTTTTAAATGTCATTTGAGCTGTCTCCTGCTTTTTCACTGACTCCAATCAATCTTATGTTGTTCTTTGCATCATCTTGCAGCTGTTGGAGTGATTTTTCATGGTCCCTTTTCATAGACTTTCTTTTGGTGATTTCTAACCACACAATCCTGTGTTCTAGATCTGATATTCTGTCATCACCTTGGTTTTTTGCCTGCATATAGTTTTAGTGGAATTTTTAATCTGGATATCTGTTTGAATCAGTTTCATGGATTCCATTTCTTTCCTATGTTGGGCATTCATGGTCCATCATTTTCCTAAGCTCTTCTATTTTCTTTTTATATCTGTGTCTACTCTAGATTCACCAAGTCCTTCATTATGATTGTCATCTCTTTTTTTTTTAACCTGAGAGATTATTTCTGATCTGATTTTCTCTATAGCTTCATTCATCTGTTTGTTTTTTTTTTTTTACTTCTGCTACCATTTCAGAAAATTAAGGTGGGTGGCTTCTGATTTCCTCTCTGTCATTGTCCCCTGGGCTTTTCCTGGGTGGGCTGGAGGTCTGGGATGCATTTACTTCTGCACCTTGTCATTTTCTATTTTTTTATTTTAATTTATTTTCTGTGTTGATGCTTGTAAACTGCTTATGGTAGGTAGCTTTATCACTCATTTTGAGGCATCCCTAGGAAATGTCTATTCCTCAGAGATGTCTTCTAGGTAAAGGTAGCTCTTGGTCTTCATGTCTCTCCCAAGATCCTACCCTCCCAATTTATTAGGGAGGAGAAGTCGTTATTTATTTGGCCCAGCACTCAGATCTTTCGAACTGGAGTATGGTGATTATTATGAACCCAGACAATCACAGTACTGTCATACAAGGGAAGACAATTGATTACAATAGGTAGGACATCCTGGGTTAAGTAGTACAACTGTCAATAGCAATAGCATCAAGCACAGCCTAGAAACTGATGAACTGTGGTAACACTTTGGTGCCTTTAACTGTAAGGCCAAGATCTACAGTTATAAAATAAAATCCAATATAAAACAGGAACTTGTATGCAGTGAATTTCCCCTTAGTAGAGTGATTTTACCCTGTGTGGGGGAAATTTAAGAGGAGTAGGGGAAAAATAGAGAGATAAATGAAGAGAAATATAGTAGAAACAAGATTGAAGGACAAAGCATGATCATCCAAGCTTTGGGAAACTGGAGAAGAGGATATGAAAGAATGAAGGAGAAAGGAAAAGAATATTGAAAACGGAAAAGAGTAGAGACATTATTCACTCACATGAAAATATCAAAAAATCAAGAAAGATGGTTGAGGAAAGACAGAAAAAAGATGAACAAAACAAAACAAACAATAAAAGTAAAAGCCTAAACAACCAACAACAACAAAAAAAGACAGAAAAAGGAAAAACAAAACAAACCGAACAAACAAAAAACAGTAAAATTCCTCTGGTGTCCACAGTTCTGTGGTAGTGTCTAAGTCAGAGCCCAAATCTAAGTCACAGCTGGGTAAGCCCACCAAGTCTGCTGGAGGATTGGCCTGAGGCTGCTCCCAGCCCCCTGTATAATTGGCCCTCCCAGCCCTTCATAGCCTCCTCTGTTCCACCCTGCTGGCACATCTCCTTCCCCTCTCATGTGGCTAGGAGCAGGGCAGGGGGAAAGCTGTGGGCTGACTCACTGCCCCTGTGGCTGCTGCAGAGACAGCAAAGGCGCTCAGGTCCCACTTCTCTCTCCTCTCTTGCATAGTTGGGGTGGGGGGTGCTGACTTCCCACTCATTGCTCGGCTGCTGCCCAAGGGTGCCTAAGTCTCATGTCCCTCTCCTCTCTCATGCTGGGAGCAGAGCAGGAGGAGTGGTGCTGTTCTGCTCACTAGCTTCACTGCCGCCACTGTGGTCCCTCCTTCTTTCAATACTGGAAACTAAGAATTCTAGAGCAACATAACCCAAGATAAGCAGACATGCACCTAACAATATAGCATCAAAACAAATAGAGAAGGAAGGATGAAATCAGAGGAAGAGAGAGATAATGCATGCTACAATGTCTACCTTGATTATGGTTCATACAGGCAGCAGATGAGGAGATGCAGGAATGATCTAAGATAACAGTTCATACACTGTATCTTTAGTGACAAATATTATATCTTGAATAATAAGGCTGAGTTAATAGAAACAAAGACAACACACTCTCATGGGTTATGAGGGTCTACGAAACAAACAAGGCGAGAAACGGAATTGCACAAATACCAGAAAGAATACTACATATCTTCAGATATTATTTGTACATTTAGAAAACCAAAGTCATTCTCTTAAAACTATTAATATTAAGAAGAGAATTCGTATAGATGATTGGATAAAAGCTAAGCATGAAATGAGTTGTTTTTCTCTATGCCTAAAGTCTTAATTGAATCCAAATCCATAGAGAGGTGCATAAAATGTTCTTGGATGGGAGAAAAACATCACAATTGCCAATTCTTCTTAGTAAAATAAAAATATAATTCAATTTTAAGGTTTACATGGTAGAATAAATATGCAAAAATAGTGAAAATTTTTATAAAAGCATAGCAGTAAAAGGGTTTATTTAGCATAGAGCAATAGGATATGAAAGCTCTAGGGTCAGGAGTGACATGCTGGGCAGCCACATGGGTGAACAGAACCACACTCAGGAGCAGATCCGGGGTCTTCTGGGCTTTAATATGCGGCACAGTTGACATTTTAGTTAATGCGAACAGGATGGTTTATTTAATAACAGTACTTAAATAACTCAATCTCAATCCAGAAGAAAGCAGAACTAGGTCTTTTACTATTTTGTGTGTGATATATTTCAAACTGAAAAGACCTAAAGAATAAAATTTAAAAACACATATGGGAAAAATGTTTCAGTAACTCTGTATTCCATGAGACTTTCTAAAGCAAGAGAGGAGCTCAGCAAATGACAAGACGAACATTAAAATGTGACACCATTTTTCATCCTTCAGAGTAGAATAACAAGGTAAAACCATCACAATGATATCCAGTGGGACTTGTGTTCCCATGTTTATTAGAGCACCGTTCACAATAGGCAGGTTAAGGAGTCTTCCTAACTGCCTGTCAGCAGATGAATGGATACAGAAGATACAGTATATATACATATATGTATATATATACGTATATATACACATATATATATACATATGTATATATACATATATACAGTGGAACATTTTCAATAAAGAAGAATGAGATCATATCATCTGCAGAAGAATGGACAGAACTGGAGGTCATCATACTGAGTAAAATAATCCAGGCTCAGAAAGACGAGTGTCACATGTTTTCTCTCATACATGAAAACTGAAAAACAGAAAAAGGTGACCTGAAAGTAGGACAGGGAGTAGCAAGAAAGGGAAGGGGACTGCAGGCAGGGAAGAGAGGAGAAGAAAGGGTACAAGAGGAGAGGAAGGTGTTCAGCAGGGTGGCTGGATAAAAGCATGATGTATTCATGCATGGAAATGTGACAGTGAAACTCATTAATTTGTACAATTAATATGAGTTAATAATTATAATTAAATTTTCTTGTTAAAAAAGAACATCTAGCCTGGCACTGGTGGCACAGGCCTGTAATCCCAGCACTCTGGGAGGCTGAGGCAGGGTCATTACAAGTTTGAGCCCAGCCTGGTCAACTCGGCAACTTAGTGAGACCCTGACTCAAAATAAAAGTAAAAGAAAGGACCAAGAATAAAGCTGAGCATAAAGACCCTGGGTTTAATCCCTGGTACTACAAAATAAAAAATTCCAGTGCTAGCAAGAGTGAAGGGAAATACACAACGAGCAGAAATGTATTTTGGAAGGATTCTGAAATTACTCAATATTGTTATTAAATTAAAAGCACACACAAGTTGGCACAGCAAGTCCATTTTGGGACACTAACCTATGAAAAGGTTACACCCATATATAAGACTACAAGTATAAGAATATTTACTTCAGCATTGTGCACAGTGGCAAAGCCAGAAAACAAACACAAAATTCAAGAAAAACCAGAATGATGGCTTATGTAGGAAGCTTAAAATTTAATGACTACTGTGAAATAAAAATGTAGCTCGAAAGTGGATCCGTACTTGATCCCTCGCTCGGTGAAATCAGCACTTGGCGAAGTCTGATGTGCCTTTCACTCTGAGCCTTTGCATTCTGAATGAGCCTGCTGGAGACGCAAGTGGAAGCAGACTCAGATGATTGGGGTATTACGCCAGCGAGATGGGGGTGGGAGAAGTCTTTGAAGTTCCCCTTATATCACTGCATTGTTTTTTACTTTTATGATCAGAAACAGAATAGAGGAGATGGAGCACATGGGACATGGGCATGATGCTACAGATATGGAAATAAATGAAGGAGGTGTTTGGTTTGGACAAAAACAGGTGTCCAGGAGGATCACTCCTCTTCAATTCCTTAGAGGACTGCTGGGTCCCAAAGGAACTGGGCTCAGTCGCCTGCTTTTCAGAGGCAGAGGTAGGAGTCACAAATGGACACTGCGAGGGACATGTCAGTCTACTGTGAGTAGTGATGCACTGAGGGTCCCACTGATCTGCACTTGGGAGGTGACAGTGATGACCCTGCTATTCTTTGGACCGCCCTGTTGCCCACTCGCCTGGTACCCCATCCCAGGCGGCTGTGCCTAGGCTCAGGCCTTAGCGGTACCTTGGGGAATGTCGTCCTGCCTCTGCAGGCAGGGCCGCTCCACCTTGTGCCCAGGCTGGTGTAGCTCTCGCTCAGGCTGCTTGGGGCACCTCCCTTCATTGAACACATGTGGCAGGTTGGCTGTGTGCACCTGTCGGAGCTGCTCATAGTCGCTTAGAGCAGCCGTTAGGTCCCAGTTTTTGCCTATGGGTAAGAAATGACAAGAGATTACAATGTTAATGGATGAATAATAGTCTCATTGCAGAAAACACTTGTGGCAAGAAGGGCTGCCATGAATATGTTCACTAGTGACCTTTTCACCGGCAGTTCTGGGCTATCAAAAGGGTAATTACATCTGTACACCTCTGGAGGTAGAATTTTACATGCATAGACAGTGATTTTCTGAAACCTGTGACTATGTCTAATCTCATAGCCTGTGGGTTCGTTCACACATCATACATATGTAAACATTGTGCTACTCATTATATCCTCCTTTCAAAATAAGGTTATAAAGCTTCCTCTATGAAGGGGAGTACGGAGGAAGAAAACCCACGTGGAACAGCACTGGTTCAGGACACTTAAAATGGTCAGGAGGCTTTGTCAAACAAGATTTCAGGGACATCCATGGCTGAATTTTTGAACTAAGCTATCCACACACACTCACTCAAGGACATACCAAACTTGGAAACTGGGTGGAACCACAGCTTTCTGGAGGGATTCATTAGCCACTGTCAGTTTGTGAACTCCCCAGATCCCATTGTTTCTCCCAAACTTCCCAGATATGGAGACATCCCTCTCTTACAAACTCTTGGTTTCATGCTTCCTAACAATCATAATCATAGTTCTTGCTAAAGCCACCATCTTGTAAAACCCCAGAGCACATTTTCAAGGCTGTTTGAATTTGTTGATAGCTTGAGTCTCCAGTGCTGTAATGCTGAGAGGTGGGGCCTAGAGAGACGATTGGATCATGTGGGTGCTAACTGAATCAATGGATTAATCAATCCATTGATGAGTTCATAGCTGGATGGGCTGTTAGGAAATGGGGCCCAGTTGGAGGAAGTAGTTGTGCCTTTGAAGAGTAGATCTTGTCTGTAGCCCCTTCCTCTCACTCAGGCTCTTTCTCCTCTTCTCTTCTTCCCTGTTGCCATGAGGTGAGCAGCTTTGCCCTTCTGCCATGTTCTGCCTCACCTCAGGCCCACAGCAAAGGAACTCACTGACCATGGACTGAAACCTTTGAAACCATGAGCTACAATAAACCCTTCCTCCTTTATGTTGCTTTTCTCAGGTAATTGGTCACTGCAGTGAAAAGCTGATTAATGTAAGATTTTTCCCAGAGCCCCCTGTGCATGCTGTCACCATGAAAACTTTCAGGCCCAAGTCAAAAAGAGGAGAGTCACCAGGAGTGTGCTCAGGGGGCCACAGGGCAGCCCTGTGATGCAGATTGGAGGTGTCTTGTCATTGCATGCGTCTGTTAGCCAACTGAGGCATTACTGAGAAGATGCATGTCAGCCATCAGCGAAGGTCCCCCATCTGTTCTCCCCAGAGGCCTCTCACTCTGCTGATGTGCTGACTTTCCCATGACTCTTCTGGATGCTTCGATCACCAACTTGGACTCACACATACTGTGCTATGTGCCTGTCCTGTATCCCTAACCAGTGAGCATCCTGGTTCACACTTGGCAGCTGAGTTCAGCTGGTGTTAAGTGAAAATGCTGCCTGAAGATGGAGGTAAAGAGGCAGCAGCACTGTCTTCTCAAGAGCCTCGTTCCCAAGTGCTCCACTCTGACGCTTAAAGACTATCTCAAGGAGAAACTAGAGCCATTTATAGCTAAATGGATGCATATCGAGGCCATACTCTTAAGTGAAATAAATAGGACACACATGCGTAAATACTGAATAGTTTCTCTAGTGTGAGAAATTGAAAGTGTAAATAAGGATGAAAATGATTAAAATGAATAATTGATACTTTGAAATAAGAAAAGGTCCAAGGGTTTGGGGATGGCGGGAGAGGAAGGGGAAAGGGAAGAAGGGAAAAGAAAAATCATGAGAAAGAAAAAAAAATGGAATCAAAGTCTATGTAAATAGGGAAGGGTGGAGGGGGTGAAGGGCGCACAGGGAATGGGGCAAAAATAAGAACCAAGATCCATCATGTTCTGGTACAAACATCCAATGATAAATGTAAATGTATTTTATACTTAAAATGCACCAATAAATATATATATATGTACTTTAGTGCTGTTGACAGTGTCCAAGAAAGAGGCCATGGAATGAGAAGAAAACAAGACAGACCTCAGGCACCTTCACCGGCTGTTTGGACAGCCAGAGCCCAAGCCCACTATGCCACGTCTCCCACTCTGTATAATTCCACTGACAGTCGCTCTGGAGAACCAGGGTCGTGCATATTGATACAGGTGCCTGGACTGGGGATGCCTGAGTGACTGGCTCGGCACTGCTGTGTGGGACAGGCTGTATCTGTGCACAGGAGACCTGAAGGATAAGGACAGGGGCAGGGGATCCTTGTGAGATATAACAGTGGGGGTGTTGATGGTGTATGGGACTATTATCGGTAGTATTGTCAGCAGCAGAGGCGGCAGAGGGGTGGACAGTGGAAATGACAGATTTGGTTTAGGTGAGCTAAGCTGAAGATCAGAGAAATTTGGTTCTACATACTGAAAGAACGCCCTCTATATAAGGAAACTGTCCCTGTGTATTCAATATCAACATCTATCCTTGCAAAATTAGTGTTCTAAAGATAAAGAATATATAAGAAAAAAGGAAAGAAAATTAGGTTGGCAACACACATTCAAGGCCAAAGGATATCTATAAGATAAAGAAAATAGGAAGGTATGAGCTAAGAAACTTCTACACCTATTACAATTTGGATGTGGTCATTTGTCAACTTGACACCCAAACACATCTCCTTAAACCTCACTTAATCTCCAAATCAGGACATCAGCAAGTTCATGATTCCTTTTAACATAGTACAACCATCCTGTGTACAACTAGAAGCACAGTATCCCCAAATCTCAACAGTTCCAGCATTTCTTAAAAGTCCAACTTCAAATCTCTTCCCAGACTCAAGGCAAACTCCTCACAACAAATACAACAACCACAACCACAAACAACTTACGCAATCCCGAGGTGGGATGGCACAGGGTAAAGTATGCCATTCCAAAGATAGGAACGGGGGATACAAAAAGCATTACACCAAAGCAATCCGTCACACAAACAGGAGATCCTACAGCTCCAACTGCATTTGGGGACTTTGAGGATGGCCCAAGGACTCTGGAGGAAGCCTCACTGAAGCCTGAGAAGAAAAAAGAAAACAGAAACTCCTGAGCACCCGGGCCGGTAAACGGGTGGGGGGCGGGGATCGCAGCCTGGGAGTAAAAGCACCCAGCGTGTTTGTGACGGTGAAGGTGGGGAATGAGCATGATGCAGAGCATGTGCAGCGGGGAGATGTGGCCAGGATGAGCGTGGACCATGCAGGCAGGAGGAGGAGGTGCCAGGAAGGGCACACTCTGGAGGTCTTGAACAAAATGCTGTGGCGTTGGGACTCGACCCCACCGCAGAGATGAGCAGTGGAAGCATTTTCATTAGAAGTGGGACTAGGTGAGAGGTTTTATTTAGAAAAATAAATTACTGCACTTAAGCAAAATTACTCTGGTTAAATAATAGAGAGCTTAGAGCTTGTGGAGACCTGGAGACACAAAGGATACCGGGAGGCAACTGCAGCAATGTAGACAATGATGGCCTTACCCAGTGCTGAGGAGGATGGAGAGGTGAAATTTCTAGAGGTAACTGCAACAACGAAACCTCAGAGCTTGATTGACTGGAAGGAGAAGAAGGAAAGGACCTACATAACTGGCCAGAAACTGGCTGGCTGACTTACAGAAATCCGCATTTGGAATATTACTCTGCCATTAAAAAGAATGAAGCTGTAATCCTAGCTCTCTACAATGCTAAGGGAGGATTATCACAAGTTTGAGCCCAGCCTGGGCATCTTAGTGAGACCCTGGCTCAAAAAAGGAAAAATCCTCAGTACCATAAAAAATGGATGTGCGCACACACACACACAGTTCTAAGTGGTGTCTGGGCAGAAGGCAGACCGGGGGTTTGGTGCAGGTTCGAGATGAAATCCTTTACGATCCTGGACGCTGAGGCAGGAGATGGTGGAGGTGGCCCAGCAGACTCACAAGGTGTCCATGACCTCCAGTGAATGCCTGTGAGCCTCCGAGTAGCGACGTCTCTGATCTCCTGCCTTGGCCCTGGCTGTGTGCACCTCTAGGTCCTTGGCCTCCTTGGAAAACCCAGAGTGGCTTCTGTCTCTTTCACCAAACGCTGATGCACACAGAATGTGGTCCTGGAAATGGCTCCAGGGAAACAGAAGCACAGGCCACCGAGGGACAACGTGAAGAGCCAATAGTTGTTATATTATGGGTACAGCACTGTGATGGAAAGACAGGCACGGGATAGGGGTGGCCTCGTCCTTCTGAACCACTGAAGAGCAACAGGGAAAACTGGTGAGCTGGATTCCATCTCAGCTGTGCAGTCAGAGCTCCCAGGACCTCCCTTAAGGAAACTGAGCTCTTCCAGCCAAGGAGGCCTTGATTCAGAAGCCAGGCCTTTGATACTGCAGGTTCAGTTGAACTGGAAACCTTTCTAGATTTCTTGTGAACACCACTGGGCAGTGATCAGGAAAGGTCTGCTGTGGCCTGCTAGTTTAAATCAGGGTCCAGCGTATGAGTGGATGAGGATTTGACAAGAGAGTCTCTTGCCAACTCAATCACTGCTTTCCCTGTGCGCTACCCACCCCAACGCCCACCTGGGTAGTTTGGGAGAAGCCTACAATGGCACTTCCCAGAGTGGCTCTCCTTGTAAATTCCAGGTTGCCAAATGAGAAGCATCCATGCAAGGTTTAGAAGGCAGCAGGAGAATGCATCCTACTCTGGGGTCAGCTGCCAGCAGGGGCAGACAGAGCCTGGGGAGCCAGGGGAACCCCTTCCTGAAGTGGTCAAGGCAATGACAATGGCTCTGCTAAGTCACAGCTGCCACGGGTGTGCGTCTGCAGAGGCGGTGTCCAGGGCTTTGGCATGGTAGGCAGCTGACAGCAGCCGCATGACTCCTCTGAGGCAGAGAAAGACTTCTCAGTCACCTCCTCATACCATAGGTTTCCCCGACCTTCGCTGGTCCACCCTCCAGGGG